AAACGTATAGCTCTCTCTTGTCCACTACCTTTGACAAGACCAGCCACGCAAGCTGTGCAGAACACAGATAAGCTTGGCTGCATCGAACGGCGAAGCCGAACACAACATATCCTGAACGGTGACATCAGCTCACAGAAGCCGATCCATCCGGGATATTACGGCGTCTTGCAGACAGCCACGCAGTGCGTCGTTAAGACGTAACCACCGCCGTTTCGCTAACCCGTAGGTCAACGAAATCCTGTCGAGAACGAGGTTAGGCTTAACCAGTCGTAATCGTTACAATTTCAATGAAAACCCTTTTAGAGGAAAGTTTTTCGACTCGCGCTCACACAATGTAAAGTTGGCTTCTTGGCGATGACGGTGCGGTGTGGTTCTCCTTTCGAGCTTTATTTAAACCAGGTGACCAAGATTCTGATGCTTTTGCTCTTTTTGAACCAAGTACACATTTTGGGTGTCCCTTGACGGTATCTTGTGCAGTGGGTTCAGCACCGCTCGCTGGCCTCGGGCGCGCTCACGTCAGACACTTTCGTGATTGTCGAGCTGGAGGCGGGCAAGAATCTGAGAGAGAGGCTTGCGCACTCAGCGTGAGGCGTCCTGGTTCGCCAAAGTCGACATGCTGCTCTAGAGGAAGAGGGCCAAGTGAGTTGCTGCTTTCCAGCTCCTACAATCACGCGACCTTCGAGTTACAATTCCGTCATGCTGAGTTCGTCACCGCATGTTTAGAACGGTCGATGCAAAGGTGGTGAATGGAGCAGCTTCATTTCCTACTCGTTCTGGTTTTAGAAGCGATCTCTCCAAATATAGGAGCTGATCGGAGGGATTCTCCTCGCACTCGATAATACTGCTACTATCAGTCCGGGAATGATTGTGCAGTCTTCTGTAGTTGTTACCTTCAATGCATGATCGTTTGGCCAGTGTCCCGTCTCGATGTTCCTGGCATTTTACAATTGCTTCATTTCTCTTACTCGGTTGACCAGTACCCTTGCTTAACGAGCGACCAGTACTGAGGTCTTGAGCATCAATGGCCGTGGGTACCCCGGTTAACTAACAAGTGCGTACCTACTTGATCTATCGGTCGACAGCCCGAGTAATCCTCTGCCCATTCAGTGCCGGCGGATAGTGTGTTGTAGGTATTATTTTAGTTACAACCGGTACTATGTGCCTAGTTTGATTAGATTAGCCTACGTAGAGTCTGCGTCCTAGGGGACACTAGACTAAAGATCTATGCAAGCTTCTATGGGTGTTTTTTCACGTCAGACCGTCGGTGCCAGTTGCATGGTTGTATTGCATAAAGTGACACATCGTTCTACTAATGTCATGCATGTGGATGTAAATATGCAAACGCGACCGTCATTCAATTGCATTTACAAAACGGCAACGAAGTTGTAGACTCAATTGTCCGGACCGGTGATGCATGATCAAACAACTGTGTGCACAGTTACAAGATCGATAATGAAGTTACTTTCAAATCTCACTGTCAAATCCCACTGCCAACAAGCGTCTAATCTTCTAAAGTTCAATCAGATGTGCCACATCTATCATCTGAGTCAAGGTCCGATTCCCATTCTGCGTTCTCTGTATCGTAACTTTGACTATCCCGCTTGCGTTCCGATCGACCTGGCTCTTTATCTCTAGAGATCGTGAGAAGGCTCGTTACGCCATTTGACAAATCCTCCCTTTGACCTACCCAACCTTCTGCCTGAATCTCGGAAGAATCCAGGAAGTCGCGCCACTTGTCTTTATTCTCTGTCCAAACCTTTGGAGTGATGTATGGTTCACTATACAAAGTCTCTTCTAAAAAGCGTGCCACCGGATGTTCTACGATCAACTCATCGAGATTCTTCAAGAACTCTCTATCCGGTTCTATAAACGAAATGTACTCACTCTCCAAAGGGTTCGTCGCCCCGTCGGTGCATGTCCCCAAGATGACAAGGGTCTCTAGGTCTGGCCAGTTAAAGGCTTGCACCTTTCTCACTAGCCCCTATGAAGACACCCGTGGACCCCACGTGTAGGATAATCCTCTGGTTCCAAGCTCCAACTTCCGCACGCCCTTCCAGCCAATGATATTCATAGTATCTGTCGACGGTGTTAGCTGGACGTCACTGCCCAGCGGCATACGCCAGTTTGAAAACTTGACGTGCTCTACTCGTGGAAACGCCACCGAAAGCAAGAACAACCCCATGTCATAATCCAACTGCGGCGCGCCAAAATTGATTGCATCCCTCTTTTCTTCGCCGTTCCGATCTAAGGGTCGGCCTACTTTCACGGTGAGCACCTTGACCGCTTTGTGCCTTCGAAGTCTACGACGTTCGAATCGGAGGTTCTTGTTGAGGTTGTATGGATCGATTGTAAGCTCCAAACTCACGTAAATTCCTGCAGTTTAGCAAAGAAGCATCGAGCATTGGAAAACCCACAATTGACTCAAAGTAGGAGTAGTCCTCCGTCCACCATGCCTCCCTCCATGCCTCTTCCTGAGCCTCCGTTCTGAACGCCTTTCCCCAGTTGTTGGTGCTCAACTTTGTTAACGTCTCTGTCGAGGTCTCCCACACCTCTGCTTTTCGAGCCGCCCCTTCCAGGTGCATCTGCTCCCAAGCATGCCGTCCTAGCCCCTGCACAATTGTCGGAGCTTGCTCGTTCCTCTTGCCCAGCCGTGCATCCAGGATGACTAGTTTCTTGTTGTCAGCGTGCTTGAGAATGTGCCTCACGTGGCGGACCTCTGTTTCATCCTGCACACGTAACATCCTCACATAATGCAGCCCGGCGATCGCTCACTCTTTGCAGGTCAGGCGAATTGCAGCCAACATGGTGCTTTCATACGCCATTGTTCGCCCCGGAGTTAGGATTCTAACAAAGATGTTGTCGAGAAGTTCGTCGCTCAAACTCTCAAAGCAATTGCGGTTTGCCATATTGGCTGGCCCCTTGGCAACGCAGTCGTCCTTATTGTCAATCTCTACAGAGATTCAAGCAACGTTGTGTGGTTGACGTGAGGTACTAATGAATGTATAGTTTTACCAATCGTGCAAGTTGCCAAGTTTGGCGCCACTTGAGTGTCGCTGTTTGTGGCGCGAATCGTGGGTCAAGTCGTATCGCCAGTTGCGTCGCTAGCTACGACGCCAAATGCGTCGCCAGTTGCAGTTGAAAGCCATGGCAATTACGGGCACGAAGTTGACCGCCCGGTGAATACGGCCGACTTTTTCAAGTTGCGTACGCTACCGCCGGTACCTTGATTTACGTACCGGTACCGCATAAAAAGATTTTGGCCTAGTTGCATCAACAACTGCGTCGCTAGCTTACATGTAACGATTACGATTGGTTAAGCCTAACCTCGTTCTCGACAGGATTTCGTTGACCTGCGGGTTAGCGGAACGGCGGTGGTTACGTCTTAACGACGCACTGCGTGGCTGTCTGCAAGACGCCGTAATATCCCGGATGGATCGGCTTCAGTGAGCCGATGTCACCGTTCAGGATAAGTTGCGTTCGGCTTCG